TCATCGATCCATCTACGTTCATTAGTATCGAGAGAGGACTGAATGGTTGACCTGGTGACTGTCCTCTCCTCCAGACCAATGATAAATGAGTTCACCGGAGCCACGTTGCAAATCTTCACATCTTTCTCAAAACCAACGTACGACGTTTCCGTGTTGCCCATGTATACCTTGACCTTGACCTTATGCCAAATATCCATCAATACAGTATTACAACTACATCTCAAATCGCGAGATCTATCATGCCCTTCACGCAAGTTCAATTTCCTTTCCACCAAGAATTCATTCAACAAATCCGAACTCATCAGTATTTGATCACCACTAACCTCATCCCCCGCCACATATCTTTTGGTGAGTTTCGAATCAAGACTACTTTTTAGTCGGTGATATTGCTTTAGCTTGATTAACACTTTCTTCACGTTAACTCTCATATCAAACAAGATGAATCTAATTGAAACATTGATTACGTCGTTGGCACCAAACACCGTCCGATCCAATATCATTTGACACTCGAACATCTCAAATCTTTTGACAATAGGTGATATCTCGTAATCGGGTGTTGGAGGAAAATTCCAACGATTTATGTTCACCCACACCTCAATTACCTTACTAGAGTTCTTTACTATGAAATTAGATTTACGATATATCTTTGCTTTTATGGAATAATTAATGGAACCATTATCAATCTGGGTTATCGTTGAAGGAGAAACATCAGGTATAATGAAATCAAATGGCAAATCCAAACTGGTGATGGGTTCAAAGTAACCTCTTGCTAACGACGACCAGATCTCCTTGGTGAGACGGAAGAACTTGTTAACTCGACGATATTCTCTTTTGCCTTGTTTCCATTTTACACTTCCTTTTCCCTTAAAGGTAATCTCGATTCTTTCTACTAGTAAAGGTTGAGAAGTCGGATATCTCAAATGAAAGGTACCTTTTATTTTTGAAGGCTGGATGCCAAGGTAACCTTGTTGGAATTGTGTTTCATGAGGTGTGTATGTGAAATAAGCTCTGGAACTAAAGTGACGATAATCAGTTCTTGGTGGACCTGGTAATGTCAGGTCTGTATTGAAATTCGTTTCCTCGGCCATTTAC